CTGGGCCGCAGCAACCTCCACTCAGGTCCTTGTATCCATGGGAGGCAGGAAAGGCTGAGGACGCAGAGGGAGGGACAAGATGTTGGACACTGCACAGCCTCTGTTCCAAGGTGTGGACCTTCCGTCCCATGGGCATCTGATCCAAAGCGTTGACCCAGATCTCCCCTTCTCACGGCACATCTGAACTGACTTAACCGACACCGTCACCTGACAGCAGAGGCAGGGGGATCTCTGCGAGCTTGAGGCCAGTCTACACAGACAGTACCTGAGAGAGCTAACTGAGGTGTGGCCGTGGCGGGAATTCTAAGAATGCGGACGCATCCCCACATCCAGTGCACCTTCTTCCCCTGCAGTAACAGAACTCCGAGCCTTTGCCGAACCTGCAGAGTCTAGTGAGGGACTGGAGTCCTTGTCCTCCCCACGGCTAAGGGGCCAAGGGGACGGTGTGTCTAAACTCCAGGCTGGCCATCTTCCTCTCTTCCCTTATCCTGAAGGCTACAATGTGGGTGCCGTTGGCGAGAGAGTGACAGGGGACAGCAGGAGCCGGAGGCTGGTCTCACAACTGCCTTGGACGGCAGAGAAGGAAAACTGTAACACCTCACTGAAAGGGAAGTCCACTGTCGGTCTGCCGGAGCCCCTCAGTCACTGGGGGTCTCTCTGTTAGCTGATATCCCCCACAGTACAGCAACCTTGTTGCTAAAGAGGTAGTGTGTCACCACCCCATGATGATATACAATTACGTAACGATTTAGAAAATTAAAAACTACAGCAGTGGTGGTGGTGTATGCCTTCAATCTCAGCACTAAGGAGACAGAAGCAGACGGATCTCTGAGTTTGAGGCTAGGCCGGTCTACAGAGTGAGTTCCAGGACAGCCAGGCTGCACAGAGGAACAATGGTGGGGGACCTACAGCAGTTAGGGGCTGAGGATGTAGTTCCATGGTAGAACAATTGCTTAGGGACACTGGGACCTGTGTTCAATCCCCCAGCTCCAAAAACAAAACAGTTACAATAGCTGCAGCCCTGTGTTACAAAAGAATCTGTGTACATTTGATATTTTATTGTAATGTTTTAAAACTCTTAAAATCTTACAGGACTTCTGATTTCCACATTTGTGTAATAATGTAGAAGAGGGATGTAAGTGTTTAGAAACCTGGTGCTTGTTCATTTGGGAAATTCATACCTAAAAAGAAACTGGAGAGGGGCCAGGGCGCTGGCTCACCACGTAAGCTGACTGCTGTGCAAGCAGGAGACCTGAGTTCAGATCCCCAGCACCCACCTAAGAAGCTGGGTGTGGCCATCAGTGATAACCTCAGGGCAGGAGGGCAGAGACAGGTGGATCCTCCAAGCTTACTGGCCAGACAGCCTAACCCAAGAGCAACCCCTGAATTCAGTGATGAGACCCTGTGTCAAAAACTAGGGTGGTGAGCACACATATGTGCATACACGCACACACATACACACACACACACACACAAAATATATATATATATATCCCACCCCCAAAAAAATGTAATTGTTTTAAAAGAATCTGGGAGGGAGGGAGAGAGGAGGAGCCAAGGGCCGCAGCAGATGGATGGCTCCATGTGACGCTCACAGGGGTGCATGTTATGGCTTTGATGTTGGGTGACACTGATTGAGATAATGCTGCGTGCTGGTATTTTAAAATAATGTTTAAAGATACTTGCAACTGTAAACAGGATAAATACATTCAAAAATCCCTTTAAAGGTGATTGCAAATGTTTGCTAAACTTAAAGAATGTTAAGGTAAAACCCTAAGGACGGCCAGGAGTGGCTGGGAAGTTGAAGGCACTTGGCATCAAGCGTGGGGTCTTAATTGAGTTTCTAGTGCTGTGATAAACAAAAGCCCAAAAGCCGCCTGGGGAGGAAAGGGTTGACTTGGCTTACAGTCCACCATCAGAGGAAGCCGAGGCAGGAACTCAACCCGGGGACTCGGAAGCAGGAGCTGATGCAGAGGCCATGGAGGGTCGCTACTCACTGGCTTGCTTCCCATGCCTGTTCAGCCGGCTTTCTTGTAGCACCCAGGCCACCTGTTCAGGGGTGGTACCACCCACAGTGGGCAAGGCCTTCCACATCAATCATCAACCGAGGAAATAAATACTGTTTGGGACGTTTTGATCACTCTGACACTCCCGAGGCTGCCAATGAAGTTAAACCTTGAATCAGAGGGCGGAGTCAACCTTCAGCGGGCCAGAATTAACCGCAGAGTTTTTGGCGGACCCAGATTAGGATGGAGAGACACAGGAAGGAATAGAGAGGGGCTGAGAAAGATTCACGGGCCTTTTCAGTCTGGAAGTGTGGAGGGGCAGGGTCAGCTGACCCGCTGCTCTTGGGATCTATCAGGTTTTACTCCAATATCTGACCCCCAAGATTTATTTATTAATAGAACAATATAGGCAATTGCTTCAAAATACCCTACAGACTTGCCTACAGAAAATCTGATGGAGGAATTTTCTCACTTGAGGTTCTCTCTTCCCAGATGACCCTAGCTTGTGTCAAGGTGACAAAAATCTAATCAGGATATGGTGACCTGAGTTTGATTCCTGGGAGACACTTGGTAGAAGGAGAGAACTGAGTCCCTCAAGTTATCCTCTGACCTTCATACATGCTACAGCATGTGCACACACGCATATACACAAATAAATAAATGTGGTAAAATTAAAAATAAAGACCCAAAGAAGAATAGGCAACCATATCACACAAGCTTTTCATAGATTAAAAAAAAATAATAATAAAGTACATATAAGCAATTTTATGTGACTTAACTAAATGATCATTTGCCATTTGCTTTTAAAATAATTCTTTCAAAAGTAAGTATACCGACAGGCGGTGGTGGTGCACGCCTTTAGTCCCAGCACTTGGGAAGCAGAGGCAGGCGGATCTCTGTGAGTTCCATGACAGCCAAAGCTATCCAGAGAAACCCTGTCTCGAAAGTTCATCAAAAAGATATTGTCTCAATAGTTAGTCTGCTGATACCAAACACAGACAGTCAGCTACAAGTACTGCTGACTAGACTCAGTTTAACAAAACCTTTTCCTGTTTAGAAACTCAAAAACCAACAGATGAAAACCATTCATTGTTCCTCTGGCAACCAGAAAGGATGTGAGTACTGAGCACCAGTGAAAACACTGCCGCTCAGCCACCGTGGCTTTGCCACTCGGCTTCCACTTTCAAAAGCAACAACTGAGGTAAGAGGCCCTAAGCATCGGGGGCCGTGTGTGAAACACCTCCACGGACCTGACCAATGGCACTGCCCTTGTCATCAACTGTAGAGGGTCAAACGAAGCTTCGAGAACATTCTGGAGAGAATGCGGGAGTCTCAGGACACCAGCCAGCTCTCGGGCCTGCTGGCCAACCCCCACCACACACACACACAGCAGCCAGCCAGTCTCTCTCTCCTCTCCTGTCCTCCCCATTCCCAGTTCTCCCTCCAGGCCTTGCACCCCGCTCAAGCGCCCCCTGGTCTCACCTCTCTCTTTTCTATTCTCTCCTCCCAGCAGAATGTCTTGTGGATGATCACCACAAGATAAGGGTCCCACAAACTCAGGCGTGAGCAGCAGGGTCCACCAAGGGCGGGCAAGAGGCACACAGTGGACAAGTGAGAGTGGAAGCCAAGCCTGGCTGGCCACAGTCAGAGCCAGGAGACCCCCAGGCTTGGGGAGAGTCAACCGACCGCCACCTGAAGGACCAGGACTGCACTTCATGGGCAGGCTGCCACCAAAGCTTCAGCAAGAGTGTCCCAGCAGGGTGTGCTCCGGACCAGAACTCTGGCCATCGAGGGGAAAACCAAAAAGGGCCACAAGACAAGACAGGACAGATTCCCAGTTTAGACAGAAGACTCAAGGAGACGTGGTGAGGAGCCGTGAAAATGAAGACGCACAGCAGAGACACCAGGAGCTGTGTCGATCAAACTTGTAACTTAATGGAAGTGAGAAGGAGGTGAAGAGGAGTCCATTTGTCTGTCTGTCTGTCCGTCCGTCTGTGCATGCGTGCGTGCGTGCGTGCGTGTGTGCATGCAGGTGTGTGTGTGTCTCAAGCAGATGATAAACAAGTTTTGGACCTGTGTCTGAGTCTGAAGCATTTCCAGTCAACTCCAGCCAAGACATCCAGGAAGGAGGCAATTATGGAAGTCAGCCCTTTGGGGTACCAGGAAAAGGACGAGATAAGGAAGAGATTACCAGGATGGACCAGACCACCTGGGACAGAACACAGGCCACTGTTGCCTAAGTACATTTCGAGATGGGTGGAGGCACCTGCTGCCAATCCCAGCAACCTGAGTTGGATCCCCGGGAGCCAGCATGGCAGGAGAAGAGACCCGAGTCCTGGTAACCAAACCAGGTTACCAGGTTTGGCTACCAGGACTTCATGTGCTAACTTCACATGCACACGTCTATGCACACAATCAATCAATCAGTCAGTCAGTCAGTCAGTCAGTCACTGTAAAAGGAAACAAAAAAAAAAAAAACTATATAAAGTGTAAAAAAAAAAAAAAGGGACTGGGGAAATGACTTCATTGGTTACCTGCTCGCCATGTCTACACAAGAACCTGAGTATAACCCTAGCACCAAGTTAAAATCCAAACCAAGAGTGATGATGCTCCTTCAAACACTTGGGGAAGGTGGAGACCGGCAGACTGCTCAGCCTCAGGTCCCAGTACCAGACCATCTCAAACACAAGGTGGACAGAAACTGAAGATACCTAAGGTTGTCCCCAGCCTCCACATGCACCCGAATACACAAACACACACACACACAAATGCACGTACATGCACAAGCAAAGAAACAGATGACACTAATTTTACTAGTATATTTTATATATACTGATATATATACCAAATATATCCCCAAATAAAGGAAGCCACCCATAGTCCAAGAAAGAACATTCATTAAAAAAACAATAAAAATTTAAAAAAAAAGAAAACCCGCTCAGGTGTGGCCGAAGACACACCCTTAAGGTCCCACCAGTGGAACATGGCACTCACTGTTTCTGCAGACGATGGTTTCTGGAAACTGTCACCTTGTGCCCAGATGCTCTCTGTCACAAATGCTATGTGCTCTGCCTCAAGTATGAAGGGAGAGACAAGAAACAGGGCCCATTTGTTCAAGTCATCAATAGACTACAAAGAAAGAAAAGAAAAAGAGGACTCAGTGTCATTCCAGGCCCCGATGGCCACTTACCTCCACAGCCTGGCATACATACCCTCCCCCTGCTTCTTCAGGAAAGATCTACAGATATACCCAATACACTTCTGCAGACCCCTCCAACCAAGCGTCAGACCGTGGGGGTTTAAACCGCTGTATGGTTCCTGGTCTGGCTCACAAGAATTTCAAAATCTCTGGATATCTGTTCCATGCAGGTCGTTCTGACAGCTTAACAAGTATGAGCGCTCGGAGTCACTGGAAAGTGCGTGTACGGTGAGGCTTGGAAGCGCATGCCTGCCAACTTCTCAAAGTCACTCAATCGCCAAACCCAGAGACTAAGTGACTCCAGGAAAGCGCCTTTCCAACGTGCTTTAGAGGAAATGTGGACCCCAGTGGGGCTTTTAATAGCGGATTATATGACTGGTTAACAACCAGAGTAGCTGGCCCTTCTCACATGTTCAGACAAAAAAACAACTGTCCTCTATACAAATAAACTCACTTTTGTTCTTACCATTAATCCATAAACTACACTGTGTAATAACCATTTCCACAGCTTTTGCCGCGGATCAGGTATGGGAGACCTAGAGGGACTCAAACATGACCCACACAGGACACAAAGATCGTGTCAATTTATACAGGGACTGGCCAGCCTCAGGTGCGGGTAGCCTGTTTAGGTGAGCTGTCAGCCTTGAAATTCCAGTTCCCTTATTTTCAGATTTCTGGGAGGAGGATCGTAATTTGATTTAGAAGGTTTTAGTCTGCCAAGTGGGGGTGTCTTACCCCTTTAATCCCAGCACTCGGGAAGCAGAGGCAGGCGGATCTCTTAGTTCGAGGCCAGCCTCGTCTACAGACCGAGTTCCAAGACACCCAGGGCTACACAGAGAAACCCTGTCTCCAAAAAAGGCGGGGGGGGGGGGGGGGGGGGGGGGGGGGGGGGGGGAATGGGACGGGACACCCAGAGCAGAGAAAGCAGGACTCTAAGGCTGCAAGAACCTTCTCAGAACCACAGCCCTGAATAAAACAGACCGCAGTGAGGTGTGAGCAAAGCTCCAGGCTGAGAGACGGGGGCTGCCTGTGCAAAGCAGGGGTGCGACATCGGGCAGGTATCCGCAAGGCGATCCCCACTTGGGGTTCGGAAGCAGGTAAGAGCCAAGTAACCAGTTTAGCGTAGTGAGCAGGCCAAAGGGGTCATGAAAATGTCCAAAGGTGTCTAGGAAAACTTATTTGTCAAAATTTCTACTCCGATATAACCGCAAAGGTTTTGTGTTGAATAATCAGCTTAGAAACCACCCCAGTGGGAAGATCCACCCTCACTTATCTCCAGTTCTGTGGTCTCTCTCAAGCAGTCTAAGAGAATTTAGCCCCGATGTTCTAAGAGGAGCAGCAGTGTCCATCGTACCTGTCTTGTTCCAGGAGGTGCTAGTCACGGCTAGGCAGTGTCTATATACTTAGGACACCTGAGGCCCCTGAGTGGTATTCACACTGTAGTTCCTTTACACTTTTTGTGTGTACAGGTGTCTTGCCACCTTGTGTGTGTGTGCACTCCTCGGACCCCCTGGAACCGGGGCTACAGATGGTTACAAGCCACCATGTGTGGGGGGGGACCACAGATGGTTACAAGCCACCATGTGGGGACTGGGAATTGGACAAGGGAACTCTCAGGAGCAACAAGTGTTCTGAACCGCTGATTCATCTCCAACTCCTACACTGTATTTTTTTTTTTACTTAGAGTGTTGTCTTTGTTAATTTCCTGGAAGCACAATTCCATCCCCATACCTAAGCAGCTTGACAAAAATATCCAGCCTGAAGTAAGATTATGATTCCTATATGGGTGTTATGGTTTGACATCTATGAAAAAGAACACTCATTTTAGTGCTAGAAGTGGGGCAGTTTTCCAGAAGGAAGCGGAAAGGGGAAAAGGCCGTTGAGAAGCAAAACACTGTGTGATGTTCACAAAAACAAGTGATGTCCAGAAGCACAGGGTAGGAAGTGCACTGTGCAGTCAGGTCCCTCGCCTGCAGCGGGCCTGTGCAAACGTTGGGCCATTGTCCCCTTCCCAGTGAGGGGGCCGCGGCCATCACCCTCGGCACTGGTCCGAAAGCCAGCCCATGGAAACGCGAGGTGCCGAGTGGGGTGTCCGGGGTGTCCCCGCTACAGCTGCAACCGACAGAAGACGCGGCGGGAGGGGCAGCTGGCCCGCGGCCGACGGCGCCCAGCAGGGATTCCCGGGCTCCAGTGCACGCCGAGGCTTGCGCTTGCGCTTCGGCGCGCGGCCGGGGTGCAGACGCCGCCGCG